TTGGGAGGACATTCAGGGGTGCTACGGACCCTAAAAAGACTCAGCAGCCACTACCATTGGGTAGGAATGCGCAAGGATGTGTTGCACTATGTATCAGAATGCCCAACTTGCCAACAGCAGAAATACTCCTCACAGTCACCCACGAGCCTTCTACAACCCCTCAAGATTCCAGAGCAAGTGTGGGAAGACCTCTCCATGGATTTCATCACGGGACTTCATCGTTCTGTAGGAAAAGAGGTCATCATGGTAGTGGTTGACTGCCTCACCAAGTATAGCCATTTCTCTACTTTGCCTCACCCTTACACTGCAGCRATGGTGGCCGACATTTTCATACGGGACGTGGYRAAACTRCATGGAACMCCAAGATCCATTGTCTCGGACCGTGACCCTGCCTTCCTAAGTTCATTTTGGAAGGAGTACTTCAGATTGCAAGGAACCCGACTRMACCCATCCACCAGCTATCACCCGCAAACTGATGGACAGACTGAAGTCATTAATCGATGCTTAGAAGCCTACCTTAGATGCTTCACAGGGGAGAAGCCAAGACAATGGGCCCACTGGCTTCCGTGGGTAGAATACTGGTACAACTCAACTTATCAGTCAGCTGCAGGGATGACACCCTTCAAGGCCCTATACGGCAGAGAACCCCCTCCCATATTACCCTATGAATATGGGTCGTCCAAGGTGACAGAAGTAGAGACTCGCCTACTGGAAAGAGACGAGATYCTTAGACTGCTCAAGGCCAATTTGACAAAGGCCCAGCAATGAATGAAGATCAGCTATGACTCTCACCACCGCCCATTAGAGTTTCARGTGGGTGATTTTGTCTACCTTAAGCTCCAACCTTACCGCCAAGTCTCAGTGGTAAGACAAGCTTGGCACAAGCTAGCTCCCAGGTATTATGGGCCCTACAAGGTGCTGGAAAGAGTGGGCCCTGTTGCTTACAGATTGGACCTCCCTGCTACCTTGAAACTTCATCCGTGTTTCACATCTCTCTTCTCAAGAAGGCTATGGGAAATCATACTCCTATCTCATCTAGCTTACCCCAATTCACTGAAGAAGGGGACATTTACACAGAGCCCATCAAAATTGTGGATTTCCAATGGGTCCGACGAGGTGGGCAGGTTGTACCAGAAGCCAAGGTAGAATGGGTCGGGCTGCCCCCAGAAGATGCCACCTGGGAACCTTATCTAAGGCTGAATGAGAGGTTCCTGAACCTAGACCTTGAGGGCAAGGTCAATGCTAAGGAGGGAGGAATTGTTGGGACCCAAATACCTTCCCCGACCCCAACAAAGGGAGTGGAGCAGGCCACTACCCATCAGCAGTACTCAAGGAGGCAGAAAGGACAGGCAACAGAGCCTCAGAGACAAAAGACAGAGCCTCAGAATTAGTTACACACAAAGAGGGTGATTCTGCCGACAGAAGATATTCCCTCCATGATATTTCCCAGAGTTAGTTATCCTGCCAATCAGAGGATATTCCCTCTATGATTACACCTGTAGGCCAGCTATATAAGGCCATACTCTTACAATGAAAGGCATGAATGAATATCCCCTGTTTCTCTCTCACTAAATCCCTCTTTTCCTACCTTCCCTTCCCTTCTTCCTCTCCACTTTCTGTTTTAGGAGGTTAAGCCACCCTCCAAGGGGCTTCCAAGGTGAGCGGTATCTCACCACCATCACTGCTTGTCCCTGTTGTTTACAAGCAGCCAAATCAGCTTTCAATTGATGGACCCGAGGTCCATTCCTGATAGAAAATCTCTGTCGCAGATCCTCCCACAAGTCTTTCACGCTCTCCGTATATGATATAGTAGATCGCAAGGTTGGTTCGATTGTATTGAAAATCCATGCAACCAGCATTGAATTCACCATCCACCAATCTTCGATGTCGATCGAGTCATCTGTTGGTTTACCCAACGTTCTGTCAACGAACCCAAGCTTTCTCTTTGCTCTGAGGGCGTTTCTCATGGATCTCGCCCATTCCTCATAGTTCTCACCTTTTAATTGAACAGGTGAGATTATCAATCCAGGGTTGTCAGACGGATGCAAGTAGTACGGCGAGAAGACGGCCATGTCTTTCCCTGCACCTTTCCTGCTGTCTTCACCTCCGCCGGACATGGTGAAAAAATCCGTCAATACGCCTTTTGGTTTGCTGATCGTCGAGCTATAGGCACTCTGATACCATGTCAAACTTTGTGGAAATTGTTGTTCATTATGCAAGATACATCCTATATATATACAATTCCTACGCCTGAATTTAGGAGGTTCAGTTGCAGTAGGAAATTACTAATTACAAGTTCCCAAAGAAATCTAGGGAACTACTATCCAAATACATCTAGGAAACTATCAATTACACATGCATGCATGAAGAGTCCCAATACATGGAGGTTTCCCAATACTAAACTCACAGAGGTAGAAGAAAGAACTCACGGACATGGACATAGGAGAAAGCACCCATAATAAAGACAAGTAGAACGAATAAGTCCACACAATACTTTGTATAGACAAAATAGGAAAAATAAGCAACCAATCAGATCAGATCAAACCTAAACTCCCTTCTCTTGAGACCGAGAATAGAAAATATTTACTGTCATTTGTCTATCTCAATTTACACTGAGCATTAAACTGGGTGAGTTGATAACCGATCAAACTTGTTGAGGGACACCAAGAGAAGATATTGTTCCATAGGTCATTGATTAGGTGAAATATATGTAAGGGTCTTCTGCTTCCACTAGCAGGAAAACGCTTTAACAGGGTAAAGCTCCAACAAGGAGATTGAAGAACATAACTCTTGTCATCATACCAGGAGAAAAAAAAAAAGACTCCAAGATTCCAATTTCTGCTAAAAAATAGAAGAAAAGGAACGTTTCTATCAATTAAAAACAATAATTCGTAGCCAAACTGCGAAAGGGATTTTTAAAACTGAAAACTAAATTAAAGCTTATAAGCTGATCAGACTCAAAATATATCGATTTCAAACGTAATTTAGGTCGTAGATGGCTGAGTGGAGATGTGTATTACAGATGAGCGACTAATCTTTTAAGCACTATAAGTTGAAAGATAGAGAATTGACTAAATGAATTAATGCTCAAATAGAAATAGAGAAGCCAATGGATAAATAAATAAGAACGTACATGAAGTTGAATCTCCTCGGTGAAGCAAGGAGAATTGACTGATCTTTATGCATAGGTTCAAGCAACTTTCCACTTTAAATAAAAAAATCTCAAATACTAAACAAGTGGAGAATTGAAGCGTAAAGCATTTTGGAAGTGGTGGTGGCATGAATGTGCACGTCGATCGATAAGAAAGCTCATTTACAGCGCACTCCATGCCCAGAGAGAGAGGGAGAGAGCCAGCGAGAGGAGAGGGCGGGAATACGAAAAGCTAGGAGAAGAGACAAGCGGGAGAGTGGGAAAAGGCTGTATTTCTTGTGGTTTGAAGCGGCAGCAGTCAATCTGATCTTTAACGACGGTTTTAGGTGACTGCCGCTAATATCCATGGTTTTTTAAAAACGAACTGGTCAGGGGTCCGGTTACCGGTTCGAACGGCCGGCCCGTTCTCACAAAAAATTTAAAAAATTGGAAAACGGTCAAAACCGTTCGAATGGTTAACCGACGGTTCAGCGGTTTTCTGACCAAAATCAATAGTTTTGGGGGAAAAAGCGATTTTGGAGGAAAATAGATCCCGGTTTTTCCAATCCGACCGTCCGGTCCGATTTTGAAAACAGTGTTAATATCCATTTCTTCTGTAGTGTCATAAACTCATAACAGCTGAAGGTGTAAATCAGACCATGCTGCCCATGGCCCAACACAATTTTGAGCCAGCCTAGCCTAACTTATTGGTTCATGGTCCATGTCGGGCTTGGGGTTTCAGGTCCACGGGCCGGGCCGGCATAGCCCGCACTATCGTGCCGTGCCACCAACCCCCCCCATGGCTATTTTCAACTTTTTGGGTTTTTTTACAGAAATACCCCCCAATAGCTATAAACAACTATATGGGGGGTGTTTATGTATTTTTGCTTTGGAGGGAGATAAAATGACAATAATGCCCCCAGTAACTATATAACATCTAGTTTGGGAGTATTTAAGTAAAGTGATAAATGACTTTATAATGACCAAAATACCCCTTTCAACGACTAAAAAATAACTAGATGTTAGGGTATTTTGGGAAATTGAATTACTTTCAATTTCTATAAATAACCCTATCCTCCACACTAGTCCACCATTCTCATCACAACAAATTAGCAATTCTCTTCTCAATTCTCGTACTCTCTCAGTCGCTCATCTCAACTTTCATACAGTCTCATATTGTCATACTATCATACACTTGGGCAGTTAGGCACTTGGCAAATTAGCCATTTAGGTTTTGGGAGGCTTTGAGAGGCTTCAACCATTGAAATCAAGTTGAGATTCTAAATCAGTAATCCAACCATCCGGGTAAGTGCAATTAAAATAAATTTTATCTTTTTAGAATTAAAAATAATGGTAGGCTCCTCCCGAAACCAATTCCCCAACGATTAGTTCACTAGTCTGATTTGGAAAAATATTTAAAATAAGAGGTTGAGGGGAAGGGAAAAAGAGTCGTTTGCCAAAAATGTATGATTAAATTTAACTTTAGTAGCAAGGGTTGTATTGGCCATTTAGCTAGACATTTGTTCTTCCAATAGAAACAAGAAAAAGACATCCACTTTAAAGATTTGATGGATGCTAAGGATAAATTACAAGACAAAGAAGGGCATGACACTACTACACCTGATGAAGTAAATGATTAACGCCAAGGAGATGGATTAATTTTATTTTATTTAAATTATTTGTTATTTTTCAACTATGTAACTTTTTATTTTCAATTTGTAATTTTTTGTATATTTTAAATGAAATAAATTTCCTTTCCAATATGTTGTCCTTTTGTATTTTGGTGAGTATTTTTTAATTTCTTTGTTAGATTTTTTTTTTCAATTTGTTCTCAAAGCAAGCAAAGCCCAAAGGAAAGTTAGCAAAAAAGTCTAAGCCTTTTTGGCCCAATTCAGTCCAGGCCTGGCACGGCTCAGGCCCACAACACAACTTGCAATTTGCTTGGCCTAGGCCCGCATGGTCTTAGGCTGTGGGCCATACCAGGCTGAACCCCCAAATTATCACAGGGGAGAGAGGCACGACCTGTGGGCCAGCACACCACAACCCGCACTTTGAGCAGGCCACACGCAGGTCATGCCATGCCGGCCCAGCACAACCTGTTTGATAGCTCTCAATGGTAAACAACCATGGATTAGACTGCAGTTGCTACATATACGTTACAAGTTAAAGAAGGGTTGGGGATAAAAATCATGCAAGTTGAAGGGTAAAATATCTGTTGCAAGTTGAAGAAGGGCTAGGGGTTAAAAAAATCATGGGTCAAAGAAGTAAGAAATAAGGGTAAAATATAAAAACCTTCCCAAGGTTTTCTAATAATCATATAAACCTCCCCTTTATTTATACCCTAACAAAGGCCTCTCTAATATTTTCAAATAAAAAAACATGCAAATACCTCCCTTCTGTTAGTTTTCTTGATGGAAAAACTGATATAATGCATTGTTTTTTTTCCAAACTGACATAATGCATTGAGGAAGAACAGTGTGATGGCGATTGAAGTGAATCTGGATTTGCTCTTCATATAGTGCTTCTCACACTAATCTCATAACATTTTCAGTCATGCATTTGGAACATCTCCTGCACTTGTATGTTGTGATTCTTAGGGAAATATTTTGAGGTTGGTGTGAGGGGCACTGTGTGAGGAGCAAATCTAATTTCGGTCAAAGCACACCACCCCTTACATCCAAGTTCCAAGGTGTGGGGAGGGTTCTTCTTCCACCCCTGTTTTTCCACTAGTTCTTTGTTTCCAATGAACTAGCCAATTGCCATTGGTTGCTCTTTTCATTCTCTCTCTTCCATTCTTCTTCTCTCTTCTCTTTTCTACTTTTTACAAAACCGCGGTCCGGTAGCCCTCATCATTTCAAATGCTCTATTTTTTTTCTTGCTTTTGTTTTTTTAATAATTTTCTATTCTCTTTTCTTATTCTCCTCCGTCTCACCCTTTCAATTGAGTCATAGTTCTACAGTTTCCTCTGGAGTAGTGGGAGGCCTCTACAAGGTCATCGTTAATGCTGATCCAAAACTGAGCAGAGAATTTGGCAGGTGTTTGGCATCGATGCCATTGCTTCAGATATGTTTTCTAAGAAAATTGTGATGTGTGTGATGAAGGGTGATTTGGCCCGACCTCGTAACAGGGGGACACGTGGACGCGACTTGATCAAAAGATGACAACTCAACTTAACGAGTCCGTAGCAGATCGAGCTTGGGTACCCAATCACCTCGAGCTAAATTGACCTCGGAACAAGCTCACCTTGGGACAAAATCGACTCGATACCATATCGCAACAAGAGCAGCCCGATGCCAAGGCACTTCGGCATTCAGCCCAGTTCGGGACTTAAAGACATCAGGCCAGGGATACCGACATGTCACCATGTGGTGATCCCAAAAACCCCTCCAATGGATCCCGGGTCTCATGAGGTCACATCGTGTAACGACTAACATTATCTCCCCGACCGATTAGGGCGGAACTAATGAACCTTATCAGTTGGCAGCATTATCTTCCAACTTACTCGGAAACGGATCCTATTGTGATGCTGATCCCAAAATCGATCCGTAAAACCCGCGATGACTCCATTATATAAAGGCTCCACCCCCGGTGGTTCCAGGTATGCGTGATTTTCCTACTCTCAAGCTCTCTATTTTCAAAAGCAATTTTAGCTTGCTACTAGCCTACTGACTTAAGCATTAGAGCGACATCACCGAGTTAGCATGCCTGGGTTCTCTGATATCCTTATAGGTTCAGTCCGCCGTCCGTTTGGAAGCCAGATCATCTCCAGCAGGGAGCAACTAGATTGCACTACATCAGTATGCATGAGGGTCTGTTGCAACGTTTTCTTAGAAGATGGTTCCTTTTTTTTTGTTTGGCATCGGTGCAGCCACATAGGCTGTTTTCACTGGTTTTGTTTGGTATCATTGCTGTATAACCATTTTCAGCATTGGTTTACATTATCCAATGCCCAAGATGATGCCACATTGACGCCATGCCATTACACTGCTGGCAGTAATGGATTATTTTCTAAGAAAGCATTGAATTTGATATTTCTTCAGACCAATACACTTTTTTGATTTTTAAGGCGTGGTCTGCAGCAATGGGTTTTTTATTTTTTATTTATTTTTTTTCTGAAAAAGCAAGGCCAAAAAGAGGCTACTTTCAGAAAATGGCATCGATGCCAAACACTGCCCTGGGTGTTGTGCTGAGGAAAGTGATGGAACCATGCGTTCCTGCTAGCACGAGGCATGGCACAGGCCATCAATTCCCATTCTTCTACAGTGACACATTCGTAGATGTGGTGCATCTATTCCGTTTGTGGCTTTAATTCCAACGTCTACGTATCGAGAGCCATTGGTGTTTGGTAATCGGGTACAACAAGTTGGTGTGGAATGTTTGAGTCCGGATCAGCTAGGCACAGCATTATAAGCATGCTAATTGAACACTTTCAAATTTTTTTGACACCTGTTCCTTGAAATATTTCCAATCTACCCTTGAAAAAGATTAAAAACAATTTTTAACAACTGTCAAAATATTTATAAATTAATCACTGAATATGCTTCCTATGTTGGGCCTATTGGATCCAGTCCCATTGTCTCAACCCTAATAGGACCCTTTAGTGTCCCATTAGATCTCACCCAACTCAAAAATACATAATTTTTGAATCTGATCCAACCTATAGAATTTAACCCGGGAATGGATCAGTCAAAAACCGAACCTGACCTAAACCCAATTCGAGTCAAAAACTCAAAACCCAACCAACCATAAATCTGAATATGCCTGACCCTAACTCGTCAAGTCAAATTTACCGTTTAACACTCCCGTGGCCCATGCTGGAGGTGAATTGCACAAAATTTACACTTCAGAATTTAACTTTTGGGCTAAAACTTTGAAGTTACATTACATGTTGGTTGATGTAACTTTGTGGTGAAGAGTGAAGACCTCTCCATTTTCCAATCCATTCGTAGCCGCAGTGGAAACCCAAAAACAATAACTGGTCAAACCTATTATGACCATGGCAGCAATCTAGATAGCAATAAGACAGAGGTAGGAGCAGTAGGGGTTGGGAGCTGGAGGTGGATAAGATAGGTTATAATTAGGGGTGCAAACGGATTAAATGCAGAGCGAATCAGGTTATAATTGAAAAATAAAAAAGTCAATGTTTGAATTCGAATTCAATTAAATATTTGAATATTTCATTCGATTTGAATTTGATCGATTAATTACTTTAAGTCATTAATAAATATATAAATAAATATTTATTTATTTATATATAAAAATTAAATAATTGACTGAATTTAAAAATTCATCAAAGTTGAATTTTGAATACCGTTGACACCCATAGAAGGCCAAACGATCTGCAATGTATGGGTATCCAGGACCACCTGTTCGGAATGCCACAGCATAGCTTCATGGTAGTGCATGGCCCTATAGGTGTAAAGTGGGCTGTGCTGGCCTGCGGGTCGTCACGGGCCGTGCTGTCCTCTCTGGTGAAAATTTTGGGGGCTGACTAGACATGGCCCACGGCTCAGGCCTGTGTGAGTCCGTGTCATGCCGTGCCGCGGGCCAAGCTGGCCCATGGGCTGATCCTTGGATCAAGTCGGGCCGTGCATCGAGACAAAGCTATTTATTTAAAAAAGATTGACAAAAAACTTAGAATTTTAATTTTATATGAATTTTGTGTATAAAATTACTTATATATACAATAATTAAATAAATTAGTCTAATAAAATAAAAATTATATTTATTTTATTAATATATTATATACTATATATTATTATATAATTATAATTTATATAATATTATATAAACATATAAAAAATATATATAAATAATATATATGGGCCGGGTTGCAGGCTGCTCGGTCGTGTCGTTCTATACCTACCAATGGACCTAAAACTCCAGACCCAGCACAGTCCACATGATTATTCAAGTGGCCCAACACCCAACACGGTCCAATTTATACCTCTGAGTGGCCCTTTCAATGATTACCCAAATTGGGTTTATGGATGACTGAAACCATTGATGAAAATCAATTATTCCGTTTTCCTTGTTGTTTTCCAGCGTGGTCGTTAAGGCAAATTAGTATTTTAAGAAAATAAAATGCATAGGATTAGTGCAGTCAATCCCATATAGTTTAGGTGATTGTCACAAAACCTAACCCGGGGAAGGTTTTTTATTTTACCTATAAGAAATAATTTAATCGGGATAAGCTAACAATGGATATGGCATAAAGGCCAAATAGGATTAATTAGTGCATTCAATCCCATATAAGGCTTGGATGATGATGATAATATAGATGTGATAGATGTAATGAAACTTTCCAACTTAATATAAGACAAAATTAAAAGCTGGGGTTGAATCGAACCATGAATATTGGGCGTTGAGTCAGGCAGAGGAACCTAGAGGATGCAGAGTTACTTTTAGCTAGGGCAGCTTCTTTCAAGGAGAAGTCAAATTTGGTATCAGGTCAATTTAGCTTAGCTTTAACTTTAAGTGAATTAATAATGAGAACTAAAAAACTGCCACCGGTTAAAATGTAGTATCAATAACAAATATCGATCATTGAAAATTTACTGGGACATAATAACGTTTCCCAGAAGTTGCTGTTTCTAGTTTGGAAGTACCGTCGGATCAACATCTGAAGGTGATCAAAGACTCAAATGGCTACTCATATTCTTAACCATTTGACATAAGTTTCAGTTGATCTTCTGACGTTAGCTTTACCCCAAAGGTTAGAAACGCAAGATTTCAAATAAGCCGTGAGGCCACTGTCATGCATCCAAAGATTTCCCCTCTTGCTTGGCAACCCCATTTCTATAAATACGTCACGTTTAACATTTCTCCAATGGACAAATTAAAACCCAGAATTTCTTTCTCCTTTCTCATCAGTTTGTCCAAACACCAAGGAACAGCTTCTTCAATCATCATCATGACTTCTTTTGCTTATGAAGACCCTAAGCACACCTCCAAAAGATGTAGATTTTTTACTTCAGCCCTGAAGGATGCAATTTTCCATTGTCACAGCAGCTTCCATGGAAGGCCTTCTTCTTCAAGCCTGGAAGATCAGAAGTATATAGCCAACGATATTAATGAGGAGCAAGAAGTACTATCAATCACACTTACTAATTCAATTATTCGATCGATGCTTTAGATCTTCTGTTGTTCTCTTTAATCTATCTTAGTTATGTTTTCTCAGGTAATAGTTCTGGAAATCTGCAGCCGGGCCATGGAGGCAAAGCTGAAACGTAAGGGTGGTTGTATGACAGAGAGCCTCCGTTGGGTCTTTTCTCCAACCACAGGAGAAATGTTCATGGCTCCAAAGGACATGCACGATCTAGATGATAACAAAGATGAAGACGATGAAGAGATAGAAACCTTTTTCTCTGTCGAGAGTTGCTTCACTCGCTGTTCAAATGCAAGTAAAGAAATTCTTTTGGCCGCCAGTAGCTGCTTCTCTGGTTGTTCAAGCATGAGTAAGATAAAGCTTGGCGACCTCCGGAGGCATTCTATGATTCAGGAATTCTACCATTGTGAAGGGTGGCCGTTTGGTCTCTACAGAAACATTGTTTTGCTTCCACCTCTTCCTACATCTCCATCAGAATCTTGGTCGTGGCAAAGAGGCAACCGGACCATGAAGATGCATTGATATTGTAGATGATGATTCTACTTCTTTTTCTTTCTCTTTTTCTCCTTAGTGGTTAAATTTGTCACTTAAAAGTAACTTTCATCTTCTTCGTCATATAAACATGTAATTCACATATTGATACAAAGATATTATAGAATAAAACCTATTCAATGATCTCACCTAATAGCTTAAGCTTTTTGGTTGATTAGTTCTTTGAGATGAGATGGTATCAAGCCTCCTTAATTTAAGGTTTTTGATGTTGTCTAATCCGAGGTGTCTCGAACCACGGTCGTAGTCAGATAATCCTACCAACTGGCGAAGCCATGCAGCAAGATCTGAAACAAGAAAGTGATCAGAGGCCCAAGGAGTTGTTCCCCAGGTAGGCACTTCGATGCTCAAGTCAGTAAAAGAAGGAGGGTGGTCGGGCCGAGTAATTGAGAGAAACGTGCTGGTATGAGAAGAGGCAGAGTAACAGTATGAATTCTGAAGAGTCCAAAAGTCCCTAACCTTGAGCACAGGTTACCTATTTATAGTCGAGGATCCATGTCCTATTTGAATGAGGCTTCTGGGGTTGTCAGGGATGAGGTTGTCAGTCGAGATCTTCAAGATAAGTTCCAATCCCCGGTAGAGCTATCCTCCTTATCCGTACAGGGCTCTCCTTTCTTGGTCGAGCTTATCCATCCTACGTGGTGCCAATGTGGCTGAAGAAATAAGACGGTTGTGGAGGTGACACGTGGCACCTGGGGCCAGCTCAACCATAACCCAAACACCACTCCCCCAGTTCCAAAGTCTAGGAATGTAGTGCTCGGCCGCAGCATGGCATGGAAGAGATTTGAGGTTTTCGGATGAGGAACTTTTTGAAGTGACCTTTCTGAGCTGAATGACCCAGGGTGTAACCGGTTTGGGTGAACTGGCCAGTTCGATGTCCATTCCGTTTCTAAGATGGGTTAGTAGGGGCATCGTTTTGTTTCCCCAAGGCTATGCGCGTGCGAAGGGTGGTGGCATCGTTTCGTCTTCCCAAGCTATTAGAGGGCAACGCTGAATCGTAGTCATTGATCTGACTTGATTTAGGTCACTGAGGGTCCTATAAAAGGGTAGTGAAGAGAATTTTCACTTTGTCATTTGCGAAGGGAGTCCTTATAGAGCTCGACAAGAAGTAGTCTTCAGCTTGATTGGTGCTTCAATTTCATAGTCCAAACTTTGTTTATCCAGTAAGATGTCTTCTTCCTCATCCACTGACTTTTCTTGCTCATCCTCTTCCTTTTCCTCATCCAGTAGTGAGTCTGAGTCAGGGTCTTTTGTTGAGGCTACCGCGCTCATTGTTCGTGAGGCCAGCAGCTAGGGGGCCGAGGTTGACAAATTTGGGGCTGAGGCCGTTGAGCTGGAGAGAGCCACAGTCTGGGGGGCTGAGGCCGAGGTCGAGTTAGTGATTGAGGAGAGGGCTGACCTCCCTCTGCGGGCTTGCAACCAATTCGGGTATACTCCGTGTTGTTTATCTCCTGAGGATTTAACCCGAATCAGGGCCTTGTACTGTATACTGGAAGAGTACGAACTAAGGTGTCTGGGCGTCGATGAGAGGGAATCGTCGGGCTGAGGTTTCCTTTAAGTGAGGGAATCACCGTGGTGTTCAAGTGGTTCCGAGTCCTGCCCGTTTAATTGATGTCGAACTCCTTTAGGTACATAGTGAGACTATTGTGTTATTTCTTGGTCCATGGCCTAGAGAATACCCTGCCAATGTTCATCTATTTCCTATAACTGAAGCATCACCAGTAGGGGTATTATTACTTCTTGGATCGGCAGCATAACAAGGTGCTTGTTGGGGCCCCCATCTTCGATGAATCACTAGAAGGAGAGGTTCTTCTTTATGCATTGCCCTGAAGGCTAGCCGTTACCTCCTGAGCTCCAAAAGCCGAGGACTAAGGTGAAGGCACCGAGTGCGACTGAGCTCACCAAGGAAGAGAAGGTGTCGATTAGGTTGATTGAGAAGATCAACGTGATGGAGTGCACATCTGTCTCGATGTTAATCCGCGTCAGGCTGATGAGTGAGACCGGTCTATGTGTCATGCTGATCCTTTCAGGCTTTCTTTTATTTTCGAACTCTTTACTTGGTGGCTGACTTGGTGTTTGTCTTGTGCAGGTGTTGAAATGACAAGAAGCAAGGAGGTAGCTCGTCGTATGAGGGCTGCTGCAGAGAGAGTGCGGTCTGGAAGGGCCTAGGGCACACAACCCCGGGTCATTGAGTCACAACCGAGATCCAGGGAGCGCACACCTCAGCAACCAAAGAGGCTGAGACAGGCTAAAGAAGTAGTGGTGGTTGACCTTGAGGAGGGTGCTTGGGCTGATCACTCCTTGCCGCCAAGGGAGAATGCGCCAAAGAGCGGTGCTGCGGATATCTACATGCCGTAATAGAGGGTTTGGCCCGGTGATGGGCTCGAAATGGAGGGCATTCCCGAGCAACTTGTTCAGGGCCTGATGATGCCCACTATTAGGCAAAAGGTCCCTGGCATAACGAGTGATTCCTTGGAGAGCGCGGCTTTGCAGTAGGTCGTGGCAGTAAGTCTTCTTATTTCTTCGGTCACTTTTACTTCGGTTGATTATTGTCTCTATTGTACTGATGGTTGGTCTTTTCTTGCAAAACGCTTGCTCAGTCGTCGGCTTGGTCAACCACCTACGGACACTATGGCGCCTTTATGAGAAACGAGAGGTGGAGGCTGAGCAATCGAGGTCTCAAGTTGCCAAGCTTGAGGTCGTGCTCTCCAAACTGAGGCACAACATTGATGAGCGAAACGATACCGTCCGCAAGCTGAAGAGCCGCGTCACCGAGATAAAGGAGGCACTGAACGTCCTGATGAGAGAGCTCAGGGAGGCCGAGGAGAAGGTTTCCCGGGTAGAGGAAGAAGGGGTGACCAAGTACAAGACCTCGGAGACTCACCAATTCGACTTAGATGAAAGGGATACTCGCTCCTGGGAAGAGGGCCTAGACCCGTTTGATCCCCCTACGCCTGACAAGGAGGGCATTGATGCCGAGGTTCTTGAGCAGGCCAGGGAACGCCCGGTTGAGAGTTGAAACATCTGCCCACTACTGTTGCCATCTAGTTCTGCTCTCTTTGTGTTTTATTTTTATGTGCACGGCTCGGTATGTCAAGCCTTTTTACTTATAATAACTTATTAATTAATGAAAGAAACTTTTTTTTTGTTTCTGAGCTATGTGTCTCTTCTTTTCTTCCTTCTTTTTTTTTTTGCTTAACTTGGTGGATGAATTGGTCGCGGGCCTTGGCCTTATCTCGATCGAGGTATTGGTTAGCCGAGATCCTGGATCTTCGTCTTTGGCTTTGAGTTGGCCAAGGTGCTTCTGAGTTCTTGTCGTAGCGGGGAAGCTCGGTGGCGCCTAGTCTTGGGGAGCTTCACGTTCTTTTTGGGCAAGTTGTGTTCCTCAACTAGCTCTGCTCTGACAGTTCGTCAGCTTGGTGTGCAGAGTTTGAGGGCTGCCCTCTTGCCTTTGGAGGCAGGGGCATCGTTCTCGCTTTGAGCTTCGGCCATTAGGGGTTGACCGAGTCTGCTAGTTAACTTGGTCGGTTGTGCGCAATCAAAGTGTGGAGGTGTGTGTAGTGACGAGTAAGTGCAGTGTGCATGTGCCTCAGCCATTAGAGTTTGGCTGGGTGGTGTATGTCGTGTTGTGTGTGTTGGCCAATTGGATGTAAAAACAAAGCTTTTATTGATCTAAACTACTGGTAGTACATTCTCAAGTTTCCGGTGTTCCAACTCCTCAGTACGAGCTTCCTTGTCGAGGTCTTCCAACCTGTAGGTGCTAGGTCCGAGGACTCTAGTTACTCTATATGGTCCTTCCCAGTTCAATCCGAGCTTTCCTTCTTCTAGTGTGGGTACTATGACTTTATGAAGGATGAGGTTCCCTGTCTTGAACTCTCTTCTTCGGACAATTGTAGTACTTATCCATACGGTGCTGCTGTGCTGCCATCTGAGGTAGGCTCAGTCGCGTGTTTCTTCTACCAAGTCGAGCTCGGTGCGGAGGTCTTCATTGTTCCACTGGTCATCAAAGAACTTGGTCCGGAGAGTTGGGGAGCCTATTTCTATGGGGATCATGGCTTCGGCTCCGTATGCTAGGCTGAATGGTGTCTCTCCAGTAGCTATCTGTGGTATGGTCCGGTATGCCCAAAGAATGCTCGGTAGCTCTTCGACCCACCTTCCCTTATCCTTGTCAAGTCTGGTCTTTAGGACGGGTAGTAGGGTTCGATTGGTCACTTCATGTTGTTCGTCGCTTTGAGGTCGGTGCACGACTGTGGTCCAGTGATCTATCTTTAGCTCGACGTAGAAGGCTTCAAACTTTTGGTCAGTGAACTGAGTGCCATTTTCGGTGATGAGGACACGAGGGATGCCAAACCGACACACTATGCTCTGTTAGAAGAAGTTCCAAGCATTCTATGTGGTGATGCATGCCAGGGGTTCGGCCTCCACCCACTTGGTGAAGTAGTCTACTACAATGAGGAAAAACTTATTTTGCCCGACCGTGGTAGGGAATGCTTCAAGCATGTTCATTCCCCACTGGGCGAAGGGCCACGAGCTTCTGATGGGTGTCAGAGCAGCTGTTGGCTAGTATTGAAGATTGGAGTGCCTTTGACAGCGGTCGTACTTCTTTACGAGTTGGGCTACATCCTGCTTCATAATCGGCTAGAAGTAACCTTTTCGAAGTGCCTTGTGTGCTAAAGTTTGGGTGCCAGGGTGATCTTTGTAAATACCTTCGTGTATCTCCCTGAGGATGTAGTCGACCTCGGCTGGAGGGAAACACCTCAAGTAGGGGAGAGTGTGTAACCGGCAGTAGAGTTGTCCTTGGATAAGGCAATACCGGGTTGACCTATGTATGAGTCTCTTTGCTTTAGTTCGGTCGGTTGGAAGTTTACCGTCCTAAAGATACTGGACTATGGGGTCCATCCACGATGGTCCTTGTTGAACAAGGAGGATGAACATGGCTATCTCTAAGACGTTGGGTTGTGCAAGGGTATCCATCCGGATTGTGGGGTCGAGGTCCATGCACGACAAGCTAGCGAGCATTGAGAGTGTGTGGGCTCGTATGTTCTTAGCTTGAGGAATTTGTTGAATGGTGAAGTGTTCAAGCCATTGAACAAGCTCTTGCACCCTTTATAGG